CCTCGGGGCAGTCACCCCCAAACTGGAGCAGTGGCTAAAACAGATCCCAGGAACAACATCAGACATCTCAGTCCAGCTTTGTATGTATGGATCACTTGGGTTGTTACCGACATCTGGTGAAAATTTCATGTCATTAGCACCTCTAGTAATATATTTACTGAGAAAAATGGTGATGTGTTCAATTCTTATTTTACCCGCTGTATTAGGAAAACGTGATAATTTATTATGCCTTTTTTTTTACTTTAAAAGAGCTTTTATTCTTTTTTTTCATCTTCCAGCTCCAGTCAAAAGCACAACAGGCCAAACAGAATGCAGAAGAAGCAGGTAAGTCAAAACTGAAATGATGGGACTGCATTATGATGCTGCTTTTATTCTCCTGCTTTACATGAAACCTGTCTGTCAACACACGATCATGTCGTACCATGCTATCATGCCCTGCATCTAAAAGAGATAAGTGAAGCGTCTGAGTCAAATGATGAGTGTATTGTATCAGCCTACACACCCGTGGGTGGTGTCGTTATCACTAGATTTGTTTATTTAATGCAAAAAAACTGCTGATATTCTTATGTACCAGAGATTTGCCTTTTATATGAACTCATAAGATAATACCTTGCATTGTTCTGAAAGCACTAAACTTTACATCTTATGACAAAAAGGCGGGTTTATCACAACTGATGTCATTTGATTATTAGACAGTGTTGCTAGTTCATGCTTCCCTGGTCAGTTTAATATTTGTTTAAACTGTTTTACTGGCAGACAAGTTATACCAGCAGAATGTAACCACACTGGCAAAGATCAGAGATGACTGGCTGAAGGATCACATCAATGCCTGTGAGGTAGAGTCTAATAATGACGTCCTTGTTCTCTAAACACACAAACGGATCAAATGTTGAGCAAAATGTCAAATGTTTTGTATTTTGGTGTTCTTTTAATCACAGTTCTTTGAAAACCAGTCAGTAGAGCGTATCAACATTGTAAGAAACACAATCTGGACTCATCTTAACCAGCTCTCTCAGCAGTGTGTCACCAGTGACGAGGTAAAGCTTCAAAACATTTCACCAGCCCACAAAATGTTTCTCTGTTTCTTATCTACTGTATATCACCATCGCATACACCAAGCCTACAAAGCTGTTTAAGGACCTTATTTAGAAGCTAAAAGCTAAAAGTAGCTATGAACTAGAAGAAGATAAAATTAGATCAAGTATATTGAAGTAGATTTTAAAAGGAACAATGTTTTTGAAGGAACTGAAAAGATTTTAGCGTTCTATTGTGTAAAATAAGTGAAATATTGTTTAAAGTATTTTATAAATGTTGAACTTTTAGACCAAGCGTCATAGCCGTCATCTCCAAAAATTAGCTGAAAGAGCCGATTTGGTTCTGAATGGTTAAAACAGAACAAAATATACAAATTTACAGCAATAAAACAAAACAGGGAAGCAGTGGTGAACACACATGCTGTACATCATATTTGCACTTTGGGTCATTGTTAAAGCTGTAAAAATGTATTGTTGTGACTCTCTCTTGCAGTAAGTATCTGTTTTGAGTGAAAAGTTGCTGAACAAGCTTTTTTTAAATTTTGGTTGCACCAAACAGCAAACAGACCCAGATAATGACTACCTGTCACAGTTTGGTGTTTAGCAGCTTAAGACTCAGTCATGTCCAGACAAAAGTAAATAAATGTTCCCACTTAACTCTGAACAAATGTTGCTCAGGAAGCTGATCTATAAAAAGCTGACATATAACCATTTTTTTCTATCATTTTAACTACCTTTATTATCGCATATTGTTTCCTGTTTCTGTGAATGAATATTTGTGCTGTCTGTGGATTTATCAATCAATCAATCAAAATCAAAACTTTATTTGTATAGCACTTTACAAACCCCAAGGCGACCAAAGTGCTGCACAGAAAAAAAATAAAATAAAAGCATAGTAATATAAAAGCATGCAAAACAATCAGAACTTCAAAAACAAAACAGAAGGGAGAAAAAAATAGAGAGAGTGAGAGTGAGACGAGGCTATTACATGTGCTCTCTGGAGTTAAAAGCCAAACCAAAAACTTTTCACTTTTCTTATTTTCTTTCTTATCTTCTCACTTAAAAAAG